CTGATTGAGACAGAGACAGGATGAAGGGGACTGGAGAGAGGAAGAGGAGAATAATATCACAATCAAACTGGCTCAATCCCATGACGAAAAAAAACAACAAATAAACATTTGCAAAGATAAATGTGACAGTCAGAATAACCCACAAAAGGACAAACATCCCCAGATATGGAACAAAGTAACAGAGCAAATACAGTTTTACTAAACTCGCTGCAAAAAGTAAATTGCATCCTATCCCACTCCCCTTACTCTAAAAAAGTGAATTTAAAGCGTCTTTGGGAGACACGTCATGGCGTCTTAAGTGTGGCACTTCAGAGAACTGAGACCCGGATGTGCTTTGTAGGTTAAGTACGTTCTAAAATCCTTCTTTAAGTTCCTTTACTTTGAGTAAAGAGAAGCACACCGACACAATAATGGTCATCTAGTGGTGGGAAAAAGTAAGACGGACAGACATAAACAACAGAGGGAAAGTTAAAAAGTAAGACCTACTGGAGGCACCCTTCAATCACCCGCTTTCCAAATTCTGCTAGATCCTCAAAATTGTGTAATGCGTAAAAGACCTGCCAGATCATGAAAGATAATCACGTCTTTAACATTTGCATATCAAACATTATTCATTTATTTATTGTTCAGTTTGTAAGGTATGCATGTTTTTCTATCCATTTTTAAAACTAAAGTTTAAGTGGAGGGGCCAAGTTTACTTTAACCACACTGCCTTACCCTGCTGAGGTAATTCTCATCACGGGTGTAGAAGGTGATGAGTCGTATAAGTTTCTCCCAGTCCTCCTCCATGCACGTGAACAGAAGCAAGTCCACGCTTCTCTGAAATGAAATGGTATAGGTTTTAAAGCCACTATCAACAAAATTAGTTTTTTTTAAAGAGGCGGGACCTCCGAGTTTAATGCCCATCTCTGAAAAGACCGAACCAAATGGGAAATTCGTGTAAAGTGCCTTTCCCAAGCACACAACGTCACACTTCTCTGAATGAGACACGTAACGATAAATCATCAGAATGAGTTGTAAAATGTGTATTAAAAAAAAAAGGCCAGTTTAAAAAGAAATGTTTTTACCCTGCAGTCGACGCAATTTAGGTTTCATTTAAAATCAAATACGATCAGTTAAAACATATTTTTTAAGCCACAATCCAACAATATTTAGATTGCATTCGTAAAAAAAATAATCAGATAAGCTAAAATGTTGTCTTTTTTTTAGCCGCCATCGACACAGCATAGATAATTTAGGAGGCGGGTTTCGATCGACCGACCTTATCAAGACCAACCCGGATTGAGAGGGATACAACATCCCTGCAGAAAGATACTCGATTAAGTTTTTCCAGACTCGTAAATCGAACCCGCTTTTTCTGCGTGTGGTGATCATGAAGCGCCTAACCGCTAAGCCACAGCATAAGCCGATAAGGTAAGTGATCCCCCAATGGATTAAAAAATGATGAAGTTTACCCACAGCAGATACAGGTGAAGCCGCCATCCTCCTCAACAGGTTATGATTTATTGTAAATGATTTACACCCCCTCCTCGATACAAAATTAATTGATCATTTATGAACAGGGCTGCTTCAACCCAGTCTGTCCGAGCCACTCTGGATTGAGTGGGAGAAAAATCTCTACAATTAGGAATGTAAAAAATCTGACTCGCTTGGAAATCGAATAGGCTCTTATGTGTGCAGCCACTTCCAGCCTGACTGTTTTCATTCTGAAAGCAAAAATTTACAGGAGAAAAAAACCCAACTGTTTCATTCTTTCAATAATTGTGCCGAAATTATGTATTTCTTTTGGCCTTTTTCAATATTCAGAATTCGAATTTCAACAACATATTTCTTGAGCACACGCATCGAATACCACAGATTAAGAAACAGTAATCAAAAAAATAAACGGGCTGAGTACATTTTAACACCTGGCGGAAGATCTGCCAGTTTCGAGCAATTACTAATTCGTAAACAGAAATATAGATGAAATTTGAGAAATGGATGTTTATCCAGTCTCCTTAACAGGTTAATGGCTAATCTTAAATGTGATGTGTCCATATTATTGACACATTAATTATAATAAGGATATTAAGGATGTATAATAAGGTTAGATCTATATAGGACGCTGACTTCCTCAAGTTTGCCTGCCATAGCCAAACTGGGTAAAGGAGAAACTACATGTATATCTAATTTAAAAAAAAAACATAACGAGAACGCAACACACCTGTTTTGTGTACAGTCGTTAGACACGACAAGAGCCTATTGAATCCTAGTGTTTCTCCTTCTCATCCTTTAATCTTTTCTTTCTTTACTGGAGCTTTTCATTGCTTGGTTCACTTAAATTTTCTCCTCCTCCTCCTTCTCTTCTTCCTCCTCCTCCTCTCCTTCCTCCTCCTCCTCTCCTCCCCCCCCCTTCAAAGAGTCTGTACTGCTGATGTCACTAAACATATCTGAGCATGCCCCTCACCCTTGCATGGACACACATACAAACTCACAAACACACACACACACACACACACA